CATAGACTTTATATCCTTTGGAACCAAGTGGATAGCCAAGTAAAATGCATCTTGATGCACGAAGAGAAAAATAGTTTCTATGATTAGTGAGAGTGCTATCAAAGCATAGACATCCAAATGTTTGAAGATGAGCATAGCTTGGTGGGTTTTGGAAGAGCATTTCATAAAGGGTCTTATTGCCAGAAGTGGAGATAGAATTCTGTTGATTATATGAACTGCAGTGAGAATGCAGTCACTCCAGAAAATGACTAGCACATTTGATTGAAAGAGAAGTGCCCTGTCAATTTGGAGAATAAGTTGGTGCTTTCTTTCTACAATACAATTTTGTTGTGGGGATTCAATACAGCTTTTCTAGTGGAGAATACCATGTGAGTTTTAAAATTTAGTCATGAGGAACTTAGCTCTATTATTAGTTCGGAATGCCTTAATTTTGGTGTTGAACTGTGTGATGGCCATTTGATGAAATTTCTTTATAAGTTTAAGGGTTTCAGCTTTTGATTGGCCCATGTAAACCCAGGTGCATTTGGAATAATCATCAACTATGGTAAGAAAAAATTGTGACCATCACAGGAAGGAACTTGAAATGGACCCCATATATCACAATGAACTAAATCAAAAATTCCACTTGAAACTGAATTGCTAATAGGAAATGGTAATCTCTTTTTCTTTGCTAAAGGACAAATCTCTAATTTATTCAAAATTTTACAAGAAATTTGAGATGAAATATAAGGAATCTCGGATATTCTGATATTGGAATCGTGTCCTAGTCTACAATGCCAGAGACTGAAATTGATAGAGGCTGCAACATGTGTTGTGGAATGATTGGGAGCAGGTGAATATGAAATTTTGTTTTAGGCATGGATAAGATGATATAGTCCATCTTTCTCTCTAGCAAAACCAATCATCCTCTTGCAGGCCAGATCCCGTATAAAGCAATGGGAGGCAGAGAAAGTCACATGGATATTGGAAGCCCTAGTTAGTCTAGATACTAATAAAAGATTGAAAGAAAAAGAAGGTACACACAAGACATTTTCAAGAAACAGGCTTTCGACAACTTTCACTTTTCCAATATGGTTAACCTGTGGTTGTGGTGGATTCAATGGAAGATTGAATGTGGGTGAATATACCATATGGTCCGTGGCTACGATATCAATTATCCAGGTAATAGTTTTGGGTTCAGAGAAAGTTGAATTACGAAGGGAAATACCTGTAGTGATGGGTGCTTTTGTTTGAGTTGTTGAGTTACATGATTGAGGGGATGTCTCCTGGGTTTTAGCAAGTGCCCAAAATTGCATAGATGTACTGATTAAACGAAATACTTGATCTCTCATCCTTTGTTGTCTGGTTCCCATTCACAGCATGTGCAGTAGGGATATTCACCAAGGTCTTTGATCCCTTAGATCCTCTCCAGCCAGAGGGGGAATCTTATAAGGTGAAATCACTTATCTACAGTGTGATTGAAGTATCCACAATGAGTGCATTTTAGTTTATGTTTGTCCTTCCAAGGTGGAGGACTACTGATTGATCTATGTGGTTGTCTTGTTGTCATGGTTGCTAATTCGAAGGCTAAATGATTCTGCAGGTCCCTTTGACTCTCTTCTTGAAACGTAATGGCATAAACTCGAGCCAATGATGGAAGTGGTGAAGTCAGCAGTAGCTGGCTTCGTAGTGTAGAGTAGGGTTCATTTAATCCTACAAGAAACTTCATAACTGCATTTGCTTGTTGGGTATCTGATATGGTCTTCAATATATCACAAGTGTAGTTGGATAGTATCACACAGCTACACTTTGGCAAAGATCTATAGCTGAAGTATTCTTCCCAAATGGATTTGAACGAATTGTAATACCTGGTGAGACTTTATGATCCCTGTGAAATAGTACTGATGCATTTTTCTAGATGGTACACTCTAGGTCCATCGCTTCTATTGTATCTGCTCTTTAATTCATTCCACACTTCATATGCAGATGAGATATACAACAGGTTTTGGCAAATTTCTTTGCTGACTGAATTTAACTGCCCTGAAAGGACCAAATTGTTTGCTCGAAGCTAGTAATTATACGTAGTACCTAGTGGTGGATTTGGGGATTTTAAAGTTCCATCAATGAATCTAGATTTATTTTTCACACTCAATGCCATGGATATTACACGGCTGCAAGATGTGTAATTTTATCCATTGAAAATCTCAGAAACAATTAGTACACCGAGATTATAATTTGGGTGCAAGTAGTATTGACTGGTTGGATCATCAGCAGGGATGGGAAGAGGATTGTCTAAGCTCACCATGCTCTAAGTAAAGTGTTGATGATAGATGGAAAATTTTACCATGTTAAATTCATCAACTAAACATACTAAAGCGTGCAATTGCAAGTGCAAGAAATGAAGACGATGAACTGAGGAAGAAAAAGACGAAAATTTCTATTAATCAAGCTTGAAGAATTTGTGAATTACATCTACATATTTATAGACAATCAACTCAACTAACTTACTGTCTAATTATCTAACTAACAACATGAATTAACTGTCAACAAATTAATAGCATTAACAGAATTTGAGCTGGAGCTTTCATCACAGCCAGCTGGTTTCTTCTGCTGGTTTGCTGTGTCGTAAGAGTAGTGGATGGTTGTGCCAACTTTTTCAATTGAGCAGCTGTGCAAAATAAACAAATTACTTATTTTGACTCGTTCATTAATATTACGAAATATGTGAGTTTTATATTAACTATGTTGTCGACAGTCACTTCTTAAGCTTCAATCAACTTGGTTAGATAATTCACGCAACTCGATTTTTAGCTAACATAAAACCACATCATTTAAATGTTATAAGAAAAAGAGAATACTGTAATCAATACATCATACACATGTAGATCATATTCATTGCTTTTTATCTAAAACCTTACGCAAGATTTATCATATACAGGTCATGGTGAGAGTTAAACTCATCATGTCCCCACTCCAAACGCCTTCGTAAAATCACGATCAGGAAAAAATATTTAGCTTTATTTTATATTCAACAATATATTCATATATGTATATTTATTTATATATATAAAAACAATTATGTTTGGATATGAAATAATATTCTTATTTTTGGCTCGTTCTTTGATGTGAAACACAAACTATTTTTGTTGTCGACATTCACTTCTTCAGTTTCAATCAACTCATCTAGATTAATTCACGTAGCTCTATTATGATATCCAACACTAAGCCGAATTATCTACAAGTGTAAGTTATTAGACAACATAGAACTATTTTATGTTCAATATGCTATAAACATGCAGAACATATTCATTTTTTAAAAGAAGTTTACATGTTGCATTTTAATAAATGGGTAATGGTAAAATTTAAACTCATCATATCCCC